TGTTACTGGTCATTGCCGTCGTTTTTTTTATAGTGCAAAATAAAAATAGTAAAATGAACAAAAGTGCTTCTTCATGTTGATGAGTTCAGGCAGGGATACATTGAGGTGGGGACCCAACCTACTTTTCTGGACTCTATCCAAATGAACTCTTAAGGTGATGGTGGTGAGTGTGCCGTTGCAGGCATGAGGCTGTCTACTCAATATTTTCCAGTTGGGAGCCTTCCCTAAGCTAGCTCGCAAGAGAATTCCTTAGACCCAGGCCATGTGGGGAGGTGGTCAGAGCATCTGTCCACCCTGAGCTCTTCACTCCCTTAAGTCCCAGGTAAAGAGTTCAACTTGAATCTCAGCTTCTTCATCCATGAAATGAGTGAACTAAGCTAGATGGTCCCAGAAGTTCCTCAGAACTTGAGACCCTTGACTGCAGCAAACCTGAGTTGCAAGCTTGTGGTCAGCCTTCTCCCCGGTACCTGTGTATGGCAGACTCTGAGAAAAGTATGGAAAAATGACTGAGGGACAAATAAGCAAACGAAGTGAGGGTTTGCTTTAAATGCTTGTTCTTCTTTTTCACCCTTGGGATTAATTCTTACAGATAATTCCCTGAGGAGTTCCTAGGTAAATCCTTCCATGAGTGGGTTTAAATCCAAGGCTGAATCAGCTTGCCTTCTGAGTAATGTCCTCTGTGTGGTGGAGGAGGGAAGGGGCAGTGTTTGCTTATCCCATGGCTTATGCCTCTGCTCCAGCCTACTCTTGGGGACTGTTTCCTAATCATGAGGAACAGGAAACTGACTGGGATTGATAGCACACATTCCCGACACAGCGATTCTAATCCACGCCCCTTGACTATGGGGTATCCAAAAAGGCCTCCAGCTCCCCCAGCAGGTGCCATGTCAGCAAATAGCAAGAAGGTGTCCGAGCCAAGGGTAGCCCAGCTCTTTCTAGATGTCTCACCTCAAAAGCTTTGCTTGAGGCCTTGCTCCCCATAAAACTTTCCTTCCCCACAGATTCCTTGGAAAGACCTCAGGTAAGAATGTCACCCCTACTGGGAAAGCTGCTTTACCTTCAGCATTTACATAATCCAACTAGGGCTTTCAGGGGAAGCACTGCACAGGAAGGGAAATCCTGGCTTCTAGCCCTCACCCTGCCCCGAGTCTGGTGCTTTAGAGCTAATCTATAATCTTGCTGGACCAGACTTTAGGGCTTGGTCCACCTGAGGTCTCCCTGCTTTCGTATCTCTGAGCCTCCGTTCAGCCCTGGAATGTGTCCCATTGTGCAGGCCTGTCCAGGTGCTGAGTGGCTGGAGGGGCCTCGGGCAGGGAGAGGCAGGGAGGGGGAAGCTGGGCGCAGGCTGGGATGATACGCTAAGCCGTGTCCCACTTGCTGACATTTGCTTTATTGCATTAAGGTCTTTCTCTGAAGGGTGAGTAAGTCCTCTAAATCAGGCATATGAGGATTGCTCATAAGCCCGTGAGTCACTGGCGGGCAAGCCAAGTGAAGCCCCACAGCTGGGGATGGCTCTGTAACTCTCACTCCCGTAACATTCTCCTTATTAATTACCCTTCCATCTTTGCCAAAGCCAACTTTACATGGGCTTCCGGTGCCAGATGCAGAATTAAAGCTGGTGCTGTCCAGTTCCTTCATCCCCAGGTTTTGAAGCAACACCTCTGCGGGTCTGCAGCAGTGCTCCAGGAGGAGATGTGTCTGGGAGAATAGAAATGTTCATTCTCTAAGCTGTTTCCCAACTGACTCTGTGGGTAAGGCCCTCAGGTCTACCCTGGCTCCTGAGCCCGGCCTGACCTAGGGGCAGGAAGTGTAAGAGCAGTTCACACCAGTGTGCTCACTGGAGCCCTGTGTACCCATGGGCGCTCCTTTGTGTGAGGACCCAGGGAAAAAGTACCCCAAGTCTTAACACCCTGGAAGGCCGAAACTCACTGAGTTGGTGGTGGTTTATCTTCCCAACCCCATAAGTTGGTGACCGCCCCTGTTTCCCTCCTTGCTCAGGCCACCAGGCTATTCAGAACCAAATGTTTAGCCTACCTCTGGCAATTTTATAGGACTTTATGGCATATATTTTGGGTATTGACTCCACCGGGTTTCCATTAAAATTTTCCAACTATATTTTTCTTTGCTTCCATTGCCCCAGTGGCTTTAAAAAAAGAACAACCCTTGAGTAATGAATATTAAACATACCACAATGCATTTATGGAAAGAGGTGATATATAAATACACATGGAGAGAAGGCTATACATCCTCCAATGTTGCTACTCTCCATCTCTCTCTGAAGGATTCATCCAGGGAACTAGATAAATCTTTGCCTTCTCAGTAAGTCTGACCAAGTTCTGTATTCTTTTTGGAATAAATCTCGTCCAGAACCCAAACCCCACGACGAGGGCCTGGCTCCAGGTCTTCTCTTAGAATCTCAGGCACTTTCAACACTGAATGCTGATCCTGGTGACCTTCTATGGGGTGGCGAGGAGCCCTGGCCCTGATGGACAGGTTGCTCAAAGCCACACTGCAGATGCTTCTGACCCCCACACACTGCCCATGATGGATGTGACTCTCTGCCTAGATAACTATCATCCCTGCGTCCATTTCACACTGAGCACCTGCTAGAACCTGGGATTCAGTGGGGAATGAGGGCTTCATGAGTACTGATGACTGTTCACTGGGCTTTCTGTCCCAGAGTGGAGCTGGCCTCTCAAGGTGTGCTCATGGCCCCAGCCCCACACAGCCCCCTTCCCAGCTCCCCTTGTCTTGGCTCCAGCTCCATCCTCTCCCCTCTATGCAGAGCTCCTGGATATGCCAGCCTGTGGACATATGGCTGTGTTTCCCTGTGCTTACCATCCGACCCCCACCTTGGCTCATCCTTTAGGTTCTCCTGCATCATTTACTACCTTGTTATGAACACTATATTAATCTTGCTCCCACCTTCACCCCCACCATAGTCCAAAAAAGTAGCGAGTTTTTATTGAGCCCCGATCCTTTCTCGGTCATTTGGCCAATATCAAAAGTGTCTATTAAGCACTATCAACTATATGCTGCAGTCTATAAATAATCCACCTGCAATGCAAGAGACCACCTGCAATTCAGGAAATATGAGTTCAATCCCTGGGTTGGGAAGATCCTCTGGAGAAGGGAAAGGCTACCTACTCCAGTATTCTGGCCTGGAGAATGCCATGGATTCTATAATCCCCGGGGTCACAAAGAGTTGGACACAACTGAGCAACTTTCAGTGTTCTTGCCTGGGAAATCCCGTGGACAGGGGAACCTGGCAGCCTACAGTCCATGGACTTGCAAGAGCTGGACATGCTTTAGCGACTAAACCACCATCATATGCCACAAGTCAAGTTAGGCATGCACATAGGCCTTGCCTCTTTAATACTCATCAAAACTCTGTACCATTGCTTTTTTTTTTTTAAGATTATTTTCACATGGACCATTTTTAAAGTCTTTATTGAATTTGTTACCATATTGCTTCTGTTTTATGTTTTGGTTTTTTGGCTATGAGTCATATGGGACCTTAGCTCTCTGACCAGGGATCAAACCCACACCCCCTGCACTGGAAGGCGAAGTCTTAACCACTCGACCACCAGAGAAGTCTCTGTACAAATGCTTTTATTGTCTCTATTTCCAGATGCATAAATGGAGCCTCAGAGATACTAGGTAACTTGCCCTAAGTCCCATAGCTAGTAAATGGTAGAGCCCAGGATGAAGCTATTTCATTGATCTTGTACCCCTCTCAGCACCTGGGGTATACAGTAGGTGCTTTTGTCCATTGGACTTTTGTGTCCAAGGAAGAGAGTCTCCTTAGGCCACATTAAAAAAAAAAAAGACATTTTGTGTATAGATACAAATGGCATTTAATGCCCAGATGCACTCTACTCCAACCAACCACAGTGGTTTTATGACAGTCCTTTCAATAAGCCATGCTTCCTCCTGCCTCTGTTCACACTGGCTCTTCTGCCTGGAACACATTTCTCCCCTAAATTCACCCTTCAATTAAATAACTCCTACTTGTCCTTCACGTCTCAGCTCAAACGTCATCTCTCCAGACAAGAACTCCCAGACTTCCAAACTAGGTCAGACATTCCCATTCAGTCCCTCATAGTTTCCTACCTATAGCTTTTCTTCACAGTTTATCAAAGTTTAAGAAATATTCTTTTATCTGTAATCATATTTTATTAATGTTTGTCTTCAGACTAGAAGCACCAGGAGAACAAAGATTATATTGAATTTGAAGAGGGACCTAGCACAGGGCCTGATTTATAGTAGGTGTTCAATAAGTATTGGTTGAATGAAGGAGTGAATGAGTGACAAGCTGGGAAATAAATGCTGTCAGAAACAGAAGTTGCTCTTTCCATCTCCTTCAAGGCCTAAGCTATCCTCTGCACATAAGCTCATAAGCATGTTAACCCCAGGTGCCACTTTTGAATCCCTTACCAATTCTAAAGGAAACACGGCTCCTAGATTTAATTACTGCTCCTATTGGTCAGAGTCCATGTCACCACATCACCTCATTGGTCACTTGTCAGTCTATGGGTGGGCTGCCCTTGGGTCAGGTGTCCACCCTGGCACTAGTCAGTTTCCTCTAAGTTCAGAGACCTGCCTACCTCAGACTCCCTGAGCAGGGTTTGGAGACAGAGCAGTTTCAGTCAGAAAGGGTGGAGATCCTGCCACACACTTGCCTAGCTTGCCACTAAAAGATTTAATTAATGCCCAAAGACTGAGTGTTGGATAAGAAGGCCTTGGAGATGACCAGATAGCCTGGGCACAATAAAACTCAAGCCTACCCCTTTTGTCCCACCTCCAGTAAGTGACTTCATATTATCAATTAGGGTACCTAAATTTAAAATCTTGGTAGTATTTATTTATAGTGGCAGGTCTGATCCCTTCCTGCCCACACATTCACCCCCATTCGCTTATAAAGTTTACAGAAACCTAGAAGTTACTAGGTGGGAGTTTAAAATAGAACCTTCAAGCATCCCTATGCTTACATTCTGGGCTTCCCCAGCAACCAGGAATGAAAGTGCTGCTTGAGGGAAATAAACCTCCCAGAGAGTGAAGTCTCAGATATATCTCTAAGGTAGGAAGGTGAAAACAGTTTATCTCCAGCCCATGAGGAAAAGAACAGTAGACTTAAAATCAGGAAGCATAGCTGCCAGACCCTGGGGAATCTAACAGTTTAGGACTTTTAAAATGACCTTTAAAAAAGCACTTACTATTGGCAGTCTGTATGCTGATCATTTTGCATATGTTCTCTCACTTAAGATTCACAGAAGCAAGAATAATATTGTTAGCCCTGTTTTACAGATAAGCAAACTGAGAGGTTATAAACTTAGCCCAGGGGTTACATAGCTAAAGCCTGTGAATGTCAAAGCCAGGATACCCAACTTGCACTGGACTCCCAAAGGCATACCCTCTCCCTACACAGCATATTTTCCAGAAAAAAAAATTCAAAAGACTCTCAGTTATCTGTCTCCGTGTCTATATCCCTTAAATAAGGCTATGAAATCTATTTGTTCTTCGGAACAGTTTCAAATGATCTCATTGTAATAATTCCTTAACTTTACAAAGCCTTCTCTTCCAACATTATAAAGTTTAGATTCGGGAGCTGCATTTTCAAGTGGGACATGGACAAACTAGCATGTTTACAGATGATGTTTACTGAAGGGTTTGGAGATTATGTTATATGAGGAGAGTTTGGAAAGGTAGTAGAGTTTGGTCTGGAGAGGAGAACCAATCAATTGTCTAACTGAAGTTATGTACAGCAGTTTCTTGGAACTCAAGGGCTGGAATTTCAAAAGCCTGAGTTTGAATTCCGGCTCTGCCACTTGCTAGCTATGTGGATGGGAACAAATTACTCCATCTCCTTAAGCCTCAAAGTTCTTATCCATAAAAAGAGTACTAATTGGATCTACCTTGTGGGTACAATTTTGAAGAGTAAATCTGATGAGGTATAATTGCCTTGTATGAGGTCAAAGACATAGTAAGTCCTCAATGAATAGTGGCCATGATGATTAATTACAATAATTACAATGGTGACCTACCCACTGGTGTGAGGGTTAGGCAAGCAGAAGTGGATTTTCTATTGGAAAATCTGTTGCGAGAAGGACTTAGGTCTCAGGGCCTTTGCACACCTCCCTCCCTCTGCTTCATCCCTTTCCTTCTTCACCTGGTCATTTATGGGCCTCCTTATGCCTCATTCGTGACTTTACTTGCTCAGGCAAGCCTTCTCAGATTTCAGGATTCCTTATTAAATGCCCTTCTGGTACCTATACCTTCCTGTCATAGCACTATCACATGGAAATTAAATAACAATGCTCATAATTTTTAAAAATCAATTTTGTAGAGGTATAACTTACTTAGTATAAAATTCACCCATTTGGGTTTTGAAAAATGTGTGTGTACAGTCATGTAACACTTCCATAATCAAGATATGGGACTATTTTATTCACCTCCCAAATTTCCTTGTGTTCCTTTGTATTTACTCCTCCTTCCCCATCCCAGACTTTGGTAATCACTCATCTGTTTTCTTTCATTTTAATTGTGCCTTTTCTAGAATTTTTATAAATGGGAACATACAGTATGTAGGTTTTTGAGTCTGGATTATTTTACTAAGTATAATGCATTTAAGATTCATCCATGCGGCATGACTACTAATAATTCATCCCTTTTTATTGCTGTAATAGTACTGTATCGTAGTGATATGCTGACCTTCGTTTATCAATTCACCCATTAATGGACATTTGGGTTGCTTCCAGCTATTGGCTATTACGGATAACGCTGCTATAAACATTCACAGACAGCCTTGCAGTCAAATGGTAAGTATGTTTCTAAGTTTATAAGAAGCTGCCAACTATTTTTCAAAATGGTTATACCATTTTGCATTTCAAGCATTAACGAATGAGAGTTCCAGTTTCTCTGTATCCTAGCTCATAGTGGCTTTGTCAGTTTGTTTTTTTTTTAAGGTTAGCCATTCTAGTGCATGTAGAGGTACTTCACTGGATTTTTTAAATTTGCATTTTCACACTTATGATTTTGAGAATTGTCTTGTGCTTATTGGCCATTCATATATCTTCTTTGATAAAATATCTGTTGAAAATTTTCTTCAAATAAGCTGTTTTATTATTGCATTTTCAGAATTTTTTATGTAATCCATTGATCTACATGTCTATCCTTATACCAGTACCACACTATCATGATTATTGCAGCATTGAAGTAAGTCTGAAAATCAGGAAGTCCTTCAATTCTTCATTCTTCTTCATGTGGCTTGAGGGATCTTAGTTTTCTGACCAGGGATTGAACTCAGGCTCTAGGCAGTGAAAACACAGAGTCCTAACCACTGGACCACCAGGGAATTCCCTATTATTCATTCACAACACTGTTTTGTCTATTTTGGGTTCCTTGAATTTTCACTGGGATTTTAGTATCAGTTTGTCAATTTCTGCCAAAGAATCAGCTGGGATTTGGTAAAGAAAGTGAAAAGTGAAAGTGAAGTCGCTCAGTCGTGTCTGACTCTTTGCAACCCTATGGACTGTAGCCCACCAGGCTCCTCTGTCCATGGGATTCTCCAGGCAAGAATACTGGAGTGGGTTGCCGTACCCTTCTCCAGGGGATCTTCCCAAGCCAGGGATCGAACCCAGGTCTCCTGTATTGCAGGCAGATTCTTTACCAATTGAGCTATGAGGGAAGTTCATTACATGGATTAATTTGAGTGTTAATCAAACCTTGCATTCCTGGGATAAGCCTCACTTTATCATGATGTATTATCTTTCTTATATATTGCTGGTTTAATTTCCTAGTATTTAAAGTATTTGTGTTAATTTTTATGGGGGATGTTGTCTCTAGTTTCTTCTTGTCATGTATTTGTCTGAATTTGATATCAATAATTCTGCCCTCATTAAAAGAATGGGAACGAGTTTTTTGCTCTCCTAATTTCTGAAAGAGATTATATAGAATTGACATTCCTCAAATGTTTGGTAGAACTTATCAGTGAAGTCACTGGGGCCTGAGGTTTTCTCTCTGTCAAGCTTTTCAGCTATAAATTCCTTTTCTTTAGTGGATATAAAGCTATTCCATTTGTTTCTTCTTGAATGAATTTTGGTGGTTTGTGTCTTTCAAATAATTTGTTTATTTTCATCAAAAGTGCTGAACTATGTAGCATAAAGTTGCTAATAATATTTCCTTATTATCACTTTAAGATTTTATAATATATAATAGTGTTCCCTCCCTCATTCCTGATATTAGTAATTTTTGTCTTTTCTTGCCTTTTCCTGATCAGCCTGGTTAGAAATTTACAATTTTATTTATATTTTTAAAGAACTAGCCTTTCAGTTTCATTGATTTTTCTGTACTATTTGTCCATTTTCTGCTTCATTGATTTCTACTCTTCTCTTTATTTTTCCCTCTTCCTGTTTATTTTGCATTCGATTTACTCTTTCTAGTTTCTTAAGGTGAAAATCAATAATTGATTTTATACTTTCTTCTTTTTTTAAAATAAACCTTTAAAGATATGAATTTCCCTCTAAGCATCCTATACATTTTGATATGTTGTGTTTTCATTTTCATTCAGTTCAAAATGTTTTAATTTATCTTGTAATTTCCATTTTGACCTATTTATTTTAAAAATTTGGGAGATTTTCTAGATATCATGAAGTTATTGATTTCTAGTTTAATTCTATGGTAGTCAGGAAACATACTTCTTGTGATTTCAATTCCTCAAGTTTATTGACACTTTGATTTTGTGGTCCCCAAATACAGTTTGTCTTGGTGAATGTTTCATGGCATTTGGAAAAACAAATGTGTATTTCTCTGTTTTGGGGTGGAGTGTTATGAACTGTCAAATAGGTCAAGTTGATTGCTAACGTTGTTCAAGTCTTCTACAGCCTTAGTGACTTCCTGTCTATTCTTCTGTCAGTTATTGAGAAAGGAGTATTAATGCTTTCACCCTCAATTGGAATTTGCCTCTCTCTCCTTTGAGTTCCACCAGTTTCTGCTTCATGTATTCTGAAGTTCTGTTCAGTGCAGTAATGTTTAGATTAGTGTATCCTCTTGATTGTGGGCTTACCAGGTGGCACTAGTGGTAAAGAACTTGCCTGCCAATGCAGGAGACATAAGAGGTCCGGGTTCGATCCCTGGCTTGGGAAGATCCCCTGGAGAAGGGTATGGCAACCCACTCCAGTATTCTTGCCTGGAGAATCCTGTGGACAGAGGAGCCTGGCAGGCTATGGTCCGTAGCGTCCCACAGAGTCAGACACAACTGAAGCAACTTAGTACAGCACAGAACATCCTCTTGATCAACTGACCCCTTTATTGTTATGTAATGTCCCACTTGGTCTGTTGTTCTCGTCCTTGTTCTGTTGTCTAGATTGCCTCATACTGCTACCCCGTGGTTCAGTCTCCAAGGCATGTTCGACTCTTCGTGACCCCGTGGACTGCAGCAAGCCAGGCCTCCCTGTCCCCTTACCATCTCCCAGAGTTTGCAGAAGTTCATGTACATTGTATTGGTGATGCCATTCAATCGTTTTATCTTCTGTTGCCCTCTTCTCCTCTTGCCCTCAATCTTTCCCAGCATCAGGATCTTTTCCAATGAGTCAGCTCTTCGCATCAGGTGGCCAAAATATTGGAGCTTCAGCTTTGGCATTAGTCCTTCCAATGAATATTTAGGGCTGATTTCCTTTAAGTTTGACTGGTTTGATTTCCTTGTTACTCTATGTATCTTTTGATTGTTTTCTTGTTATATCTTTTTATTTTACTTTTAACCTATCTGTGTATTTATATTTGGAGCTGGTTTGTTTGTACACAGCGTATAGTAGGGTCTTGCTTTCCTTATTCAATCTGACCATCCCTGTCTTTAACATTACCTTTAATGTAATTATTAATATGATTAAGGTTAAATTCAGTATTTTTCTGTTTGTGTTCTATTTGTCCCCTTTGCTTTTGAATCTTTTTTTTCTCTTTTCCTGCCTTTTTTGGACAAATTGAGTATTTTCTATAGTTCCATGTTTTGCCCACTGTTGGCTTATTGGTTATACTTATTTTGTTGTAGTTAATGGTTGTACTGAGGTTTAAAATATCCATCTTTAATTTATCACTACCTTCAAATAGTACTATTACTATTATGTGTAAATGGAAGAACTTCTAATTATATATTTACTTGTCCCTCTTTCAGGTCTTTGTGCTACTTTGTGCTGTAATGAATTTAGTTCTACATTTGTTATAAACCTCATAATAACTTGCTATTCTTTTAGCTTTAAACAGTTGATTATGTTTTAAATAGATTGAAAAATGCAGAATAAATTTTTATGGACCCTTGATTTGCCCAATAATTGACCAGCTCAGGGAGTGTGAAGATGGACTCACAGCTACATCTTGGGGTGATTTCCAGTAAGAACACTAGACAGTCCCTGAGTCCCCAGCTGCCTACAGCTCCACTCCAAGCCACATGTCTTCCTTGGTGTAATGGTCTCTCTTAGCTACAGCCCTCACAGTGGGGGACTCACAGAGCTCCAGAGCTGGGCTTCTTTCTAAGTCCTCTGTTCCTACAGATGCCTTCAGCCAAGGATAGGCTGTGATGTGCCCTTAAGCTCTTTTCTAAAGTTTATAAGAACATTGAGCTTCATGCCAGAGCATCAATAATCATGACGGCTTACATTCATTGAGCTCTTTCTATATGTCAAACACCTTGATCAGCCCCTTGTGTTCATGATCTCTTAATTCTCACTGCAATCTGTTGAATTAGGTGCTGCTGCCCTTTTTACAGCTGGAGAAATTGAAGCAAGAAGGTTTAAGTAAATTGCCCAAAGTCATACAACAAGATCAATAAGGGAACCACAGTTTGGTTCTCAGTGGCCTGATACCACAGCCAACCAGTCTCAGCTGCTGTATTCTATGTCTCCCTAGTCACCTGCCTGGGGACACTTGGTGGCCTCTTAACACACACACACACCCCTCCATTGCTTTTATACACCTGGAGAACCACTGAGCTCGGGGCCTCATCTTCTCTGTTCCATTCTGCATGTCAGTGCCCGTGGTGGAAGAGCATATGTGTGTGGTTTAGTGGCAAGAGCACTGGGCTGGGAGTCAGGGCGCTCCATACTCACTCCAGCTCTGTGGCTCACCAGTCATGTCTCTTTAGACAACTTAGTTCATGTCCCAGGGCTTAAGAGTTTCTCAATACCCAAGGGAAGGGGGTTGAATTAGATCAGCTCGAAGGCTCCTTCAAGTATCAACATCCTGTGAGTCTATGACTGTGGCCTTGCTGATAGAGAGCTAATAATTACCTAAACTGGCAGGACATCTAAGATTTATTTACTTTTATAATATTTATCAAAACCCAGAGCTTAACCACTCACTTTATACTCATATATCTTCTGTGGCTTCCTGTTTATCCAAAGGTTATCTTTTCCTACTGCCCTTTGGGCTTATAAAATCTCCTTTGTGTTCACTACATATTATTAAGTGAACAAAAATCAGGTTACACAACTGTATGTATATCATTTACTTTTTAAAGTATGTTCATACTTGTATATATAATATATATGGTATATAATAAAGTATATGATTTATATAAATATTATATGTGCTTATATTTATAAGTAACATTTATGTAGTCTGAACAGATGTGCATCAAAACGTTAGAATGACTTTTTCTGGATGGTGAAATAACCGGTGATTTTCATTTTCTTTTCTCTTGATATATTTTTGTCCTTTTTCAGTTTTTGTCCAATGGAATTGCTTATATTTTTAATTCTTACTTCTTACAAATACAGTAGTTCACAAACCAATAAGTTATATCTCTTTTGGACTCAGAATCCCTTGC